AAGACAACCTATGACAGTTTCAATGAGAAAATGTGCACCGGGTTTTGGTATAAAAATACCATTCGATGCCACCGGGGCCGATACATCAATGAGCAAAATTGTATCTAAAAAGTATCGAATGGAGCCACCATAGATGTTTCCCAGCTCTAAGCGTCGGCACCAACACGCTCGGCATAGTTGTCATTGCGGTGCAGACGGTGAATAAGGCCCACAGGAAACTGAAGACCGGCACGGTTGGAGCGGGACTTTGCCTTTCCCTTCACTTTTCCACCTTTTCAACAAATGACAGTGGAATTTTAATTTTCAATTTGTTTGTTGTCAAGTTTGGTGGTTAAGATATATACAATTTACTTTCCTAAAAGTAATACATGGTTGCGAAAATTCATGTTTACGCTTTCTTGGATTGATTAAATTTGTTTGAGCCCTGCGCTTTTCGCTTATCGGGGCATTAGTTTTCACTTATATGTATACTTGTCCTTTTGTACTTAATTTATGTCATGTTTCATGTTTCTTTGTTTTGTAGTTTCACGAAAAACTTTCCTGGAAAAAACCTGAGATCATATTGGTTTGTTTTTATCCTAAAACTAAGAGGGCTTTTTTTTTATTAAGAAGGTATATTTACAGGGGAAAGGTAATTTAATATAGTGACTGCAAATCAGTATACTAAGTATAAACAAAACAGTCGTCTGGGTTAAGTGATTGGAATTTTCTATTATATAATATAATGTCTTTGTTATTGTTGTAGAGGATTCCTGCCGTTTCTAGGTGTCTGATAAAGTGAACTGAGATTAGTTCTGGGCACTCCCCATTGGGGATTTCTCGTTGATCTATATTGTTATAAGTAATGAATTTTTTAGTATTTTAAGAGCCATTTCGTCTATTCTTGTTGTCTTGGCGTTAGAGTATAATTTTTTATTGGGAACGTTTTTGATAGCTTATTGATTTTTGTAATATCCGTCTTTCAAAGATTCGTATTTTTTCCATTTGAGCGGGGCTCAGGCTCATCCAGGCTACATTTCCGTAATTAAAATAGGTTGTATAAGTTTTTTATATGTGTACGTTAGTAGGTTGATTATATTATCATTATAAATTGGTTTAAAATATGATTTATAATGATGTAGTCGATGTGTTCCTTGAAGCTTAACTTTTCGTCATATATAATGTCTAGGTACTTTAAGTGTTTTTTGTTCTGAATAGGGGTGCTATAATAGATATACAGTTTTGGGTTGAATTTTTTTGCACTCTGGTAGAGGTTACAGGTTCTTGGCCCTTTGTAAATGATGCTTACGCATTTGCTACTATTTAATTTAAGATGCTACTTTGTAAAATATCCACAAAGTGAGTCCAAAAAAATATTCATATCAGTTTCGGTTCTATGAACGGATCCACCAGAATCCAGTAATAGGATGTCATCAGCGTAGATAAGTTTCTGTATCCGAGTTGATGTGTTCCGATCGGAGGGCTCATATGTTGTATAAAAAGGTCTATGGATGAATATAATCGTTGTCCTAGGTTTGGTCGGGTTGGTTCAACAGGTGCATGGATGATAAGATTTAGGTTTCTGTTAATCCAGCTATCTAGTGTTGTTCCAGATTGATTTCTGTGACTTGGATTATAGTCGGGTTTATTCCAAGACGGATGCTTGGCATTGAGATCGCACCCGAAGACAATGTCGGAGCAGTTTGTGGTTTGAGTTAAAGCTTTTATAAGGTCATCTAGATCTTGTGTGTGGAGTTTATCTTGTGGACGGTTGTATAGAGAAGCGAAAATTATATTTTTTTCCCTATTAAGTCTATCTTTATATGATATTTGTATAGCTACCGCTTCGATAGAAATAAATGGTTCCAATAGTATTTGTTTATATTTTAACTCGTTTTTTAAACATATTCCAACTGAGGTTCCTGGTTTTTGTGTAGACATATAAGGACGTTTTTGATTTGTCTTATTAGCTTGTAATTTTTTAATAGGGCTGGGTTATTCTGGTGGAGGTGATGTTCGGCAATTAGTAGGATATCTGGACGGTGAGTGTTTAGAAAGTTATTAAGTTCATGTCTTTTTCGGATAAGTCTGATGCCATTAACATTTAAGAATATAACTTTAAGAGTAATTATTGGGATATTTGTAGAATAAAGTCTAGTAGGATAGCTTTCTTTGCGTTTTGGTCTTCTTTATTTTGATATTTTAGGATCGTTTTTTGCATTATTTCTATGCATTGAATAATGCTTTTTCCTAGTAGATTAATGGAGTCGTTGTTTATTCCTTCAAAGGTTAAAGTATGATTATGGTTTGGTTTTAGAGCGTTGCTCATGTGCTGCTGTAGAATAGGGTTTGAAGTTTTTATGTTCTGTTTAGGAGATGATATGGAAGGTGGGTTGAAAAGTGAAGAGAAGCTTCTGTTTTGGGTGGTTTTATTCTGGGGTAAGATTTTGTTTATTATTTTGGTAGATTTGTTTTTTGCCTCAATTCTTTTATGTTTCAATATTTCTAGTAATTCAACCCTTTTAGGGCATATTTTGGCGTTTGCTGTATGCTCTCCATTACAATTAATGCATTGTGTTTTTGTTAATTCGTTGGCATTATCATTTTCATTTTTCTTAACCTTGCATTGTCCTGGTGCATGTGTTTCAACACATTTTACACATCTATAGGGCATGTTGCAGTTAGATGCAACGTGTAGGAAACGTTGACAGTTTCGGCATTGTTTTATTTCGTTGGGGTGAGGTTAATAGCCTTCAAATGTTATTTTACAGTTCAGTAGGCTCTTTATTTTAAAAATAGAGTTGATTTGGTTTGACTTTTAAATAGTTATTTTCCAAAGGACTTCTTTGTACTATTGGATGGATAATATTACGAGTTCAGGTACTGATTCAGCTTTGGCTTTCTTTATTTCTGCTCCTTCGTAAACGCTTGGGGGAAGTTTTTTTAAGATGATAGTGTGAGGTTTGAGTTGTTTGGGTGTATAAGAGAAATAACTCATTTTGCGTTCAGTCATGAGTTTTTTTACATTTTCAAAATGGTCTAGAGAGAATAACTTACATTAATTCTATTCTTATTTATAATGTTTAATATAAATTCTGTTGGTTTAATAACAATTTTTAAGGCGATTTGTAATAGTTTTGGGTTTTGATTAAAGACTACAATATCAGGTATATTTTTTACTTGCTTGTTTAGTTCTTCAGCTTGTGGAGTTGTTGATGACATCGTTGTTTTCTTCTTTGCTGGTTTTGTGCAGGGTTTCTCAAGGTTTGGGAAGTTCTTGTTGTTGTTGATGTTGTCGTCGAAGTTTCGTTTGATGGCTGTGGCTTCGTCCTTCAGGCGTTGATTTTCTTCGCGGAGGAGGGTTAGTTCCTCCATTATGCTGGCGAGTTGATTTTGGGTGATGGGGGCATCGGTTTCCCCATCCTCTTCTTCTTCTGCCTCCTCAGACTCGGATGAATCTTCGGTGTAGTCGTCATCGCTGTCTTCTGTGGAGCATATCTGCTAAATAACCATTATATAGTATGGGAGCTAGTATATAGCCTTGGGACACTCCAGCCGTTATAGTTCTGGTCATAGAGTTTTCAGTGTGTTCCGGGTTGGAGACGCTAAAAGTTCTATCTGTGAGGTAAATGTGTATGATTTTTGTGGTGTTGAGATCGAATCTATGGATGTTTTTCATTTTGTAGATTAGGCCCTGTGTCCACACTGTATCGAAAGCTTTTTCGAAATCGAGAGCGCAGGCTATAGTGGCGCAACTACGAAGTATATTCTCAATTATCAAATTGTTGGCTGATATCAGTGCATGGTTGATAGATATTCCTTCCCGGAATTCATATTGTTCTGTCTGTAGAATGTTTTTTGATTTTATTTGTCTATTGATTTGTTTTAGAATAACTTTTTCAAATAGCATGCTGATTGCGGAGAGAACAGCAATGGGTCTATATTTGCACAAGTGATTAGGGTTGGTATTTGGTTTTAATATTGGGATGATTTTGCAGTGTTTCCAATATTGGGGAAAGTATGAGCACTTAAGGCAGTGGTTGAAAATAATGCTGATGTGATTAAGTAGTGGTTTGTTGAAACATTTTAGAGCAAAATTGCTGGTGTTATCGTGACCGAGGCCTCTTTCGTTATTTTTGTATTTGAGGATGTTGAGAAGGTCTTCCGCATTGGTGAGTCCAAGTTCATCAGAGTCTTCCCATTCACCATCTCTGGTGTTTTGGTTGCTGAAGGTTGTTATATTATTATGGGGTCCGGATATAAATTGTTCTATTGTAGATTCTATTTGGGATTGATGTGTTCTGAGGGATAAGCTGTGTAAAGACATGTCTTGGTTTTGTTTGTAAATTTGTTCAAATGCCCAAGCGAGAGCATTAATTTTGGCAAAGCTGGTAGTGATTCTGGGAAAGCTGCTTTTGTCGATTTACATGTCTTGTTGGTTTTCTCATGCTCATTAAGACAAGCACGAACTATATTGAACATTTAAACGTTATTAACAAACGTTAATTAACAAACTGTTTAACACATTCGGAAAACAGCTTAACAACGTTTAAGAATTTTTTATTTATTAAACAAAGAAAACAATTTGTTGAACGAAATTAAGGTTAAATTTTTTTTTTCGGCTTGGATATAGTGGGATTTTTATAGGGAGAAAAGTTGTGTGGAACAAACACAAACCACTCAAATGTTATAAAAAAATCAAAAAACTTTTTAAACCACTCCAAAAATAACTTAGAAACGTTTTTTAATTCCTATATTTATTTAATAAAATGTAGCGCTTGGTGCAGCTGCAACGCCATCTAGATGCAACGTAAGAATCGGTGGCGCCATCTAGATCTGTCTGGGGAGGATCGGGGGCCTGGCAGGGTTAGATGAATCGGGGTAACAGGCCGAATTGTCCGATTTTCCCTGAGTGAGAGAATTTCTCCAAATAGGTAGAGAGATAGGTTGCCGCCTTCATTGCGGCGTCATTAGCTGCTATTCTTAGTTTGGCATCCAAAGTGATTAGTTGAGTCAAGTAGTGGTGTTTGAGATAAAGTCAAAAGTAAAAGTGCTCAATAAGGCGAGGCAACCGCCAACAGCAGCAGCAGGTATCACGGCAGAGGAGCCCAAAGCGAAGATCCCAGTGGGATTACGGCCAAATCCAATGGCTCATTTTATTGCCTAGGTGTTGGCCAAAAGTTGTCGCCCCAAGTCCCAAGAAGCAACACTATTACACCAGATTATTTTTCAACGAGTAGACTGTGTGGAAAGAGGGCAATACACGTCTTCCTTGTTCGATGCGCAGTTAGAGATGGAAATCATCGATGTTGGCTTGCGGAACATCGATGCTACCGATGTTTTGAAAACATATCGATGTCGACATCGAAGTTTCTCCACCTATATCAGGTCACTAACTTTAAAATTACCATCGCTAGCCAAAAAAAAATTAAAACAAAAACGCAAATATTTACAATTTTTGAATTGCAAATTTGGCGCCACAACGCATCCTTCCGTTAGGTGCCTCAAGAATTACTTTTGCGGGCATTACCCACCACCGAAGTCTAATCCATCATGTCCCCGCCCAAAGCAATTTACACAAACATCTCGACTGTTTGTTTACATTTAATTTTGGTAAACTATAATGTATGTACATCCAGATATAACATTAAAATGAGCTAATCCTTTCTTTAGAAACCTTTAATATCAACTAAATACCACCGCATATTTGTAAAGGTGGTCAAAGCGGAAATGTTTTGAGTACACAAAAACAAATAAGTGCTCCACAAGTGCGGTCAGAGCTTTCGTTACGGCACCGATATCGGATGTCGAAGCTATCCTGAGGAGCTGTAAGGGAAAGGGAAAGACGTGCAGGAGAGGAAAGTACATCTAAACAAATCCCATCATTCGTTAGATTTCGCGACTCAATTAAAATGTGGTTGGACGCGTGGAATGCACGGTCCCAATACCGAATTAGCTGTACACTGCATAAAGGTGGTGAGTATTAACACATATTTTCAGGATAAATTAATAAACTTTCAAACAATTTTAGGCCTAAAACATGGTGTCTGGCCAGGGAAGTTGGGCAAGGAATGAAAGCCCAGCTGCAATTCGTCGACAACCTGAAGGGGCCCGGAAACAAGGGGCAATGTGTCTGTGGCCGCAGGGATGAGCTAGTTGCTCGGCACGGGTATTTGGTCCCAGAACGGGCCGAAAGTATTATCGAATGTGGCTCCTGATCCTTGGGATTCCGCTGATCGTGCTCGTCATTAACTGCTGCTGTTGCTGATGCAACTGCTGGTGATGCTGATTCTGCTGCCGAAGTCTGCTGATGCAATTGCCGATGCCTGTAGGTTTGGCTACCAACGTCTGTATATGCTGCTGGCTTAAGTCTGAAGATGCTGCTGCCAAAGTGCGCAAGACTACTGCTGGTTGCTGCTTATTGCTGCTAATGCTTCTGCTTGCTTCGGATTGCTGCGGATTGCTGCTACGTGGCAGGTGCAGGCTTAGATGATTTAGCTGAGTCCACGCGGAGCAGCAAATCTGAAACAATCACAATTGCATCAGCCACCGCCTGCAGCAGCCACAAACAGCTCCTTGATGCAAACAAAGACAATTTTTTGCTTTTATTTATTTAATAAAGCTTATGTTGTTTTTAATTTTTTTGTCAGTGATAGTAAATAATTGTTTGTGTGATTTCGACTTTTCTGTTGTAAAACTGGTGGGAAATGTGGGGTACTTTTGACGATCAGCTGATTTTGTTTTGCTTTTTGTGAAATCTGTGGGCAGACGATATAACAGATGTGACAGTTGCAACGATTTCGATGACGGATCGCAAATCATATGTTTCAAAAATATATACCCTATTTAGATGGCTTTTTCTTCCTTGAGAGGTATTTGCGCTAGAAAGAGACGGAAAAAGTCGCTACAACTCGCTACAACTGTTGTGATTCAGTATTTTTTAAGTATTTAAATGTTTTTACTTGGCAATTTTTGGAATTTTTCGGAGATGGAGATGCGTTTTGGCCAAGTCTGCGTATTTTGGCAAAAATTTTTATAAATGAACAAATTCCATTCGATATATGATATATTTACTTCTATCTGAAGGACCTACAATAAGCGCGGAAAAGTATGAGTGCATATACATATTTGGGGAAGTATACCAGAAATTAATGGATCGGGTGTTCCCGTAGGCCATCATAGGCCAACATCAGTGGATATATCATTAGCAGTGGAAAAACTTTCCACTTGCGAATGTTTAAAATTGTATTTAATTTAGCGTTTAAATCCAATTTGTTGACGGAAATTTTGAATTTTGTGTCTTCTTCTTCTTTTCAGGACTGTTTACCTCTAGAAGGCCGATCGTCTGTTTTTGCGTCAGCGGGTGCCTGTGTGAATGAGCCGCTCCAACTTTTTCGCTAAAATGACATATCCGTTATTTCTAGTATTTTTACAACGCAGTTATTAAATTCGTAGCTCGCGTTTGAATTTGTTGGGATTTTTTAGTGACAATTCATGCTTGCTCAACAGAATTTGTGGGAAACCAGTTTCATCATCTGGTAACACTGACAAGTGCACATATTATAGTCTCCCTGAGTGAACGGGTGAAAAAATCACAGCAATAATTGCAGCAGTGTCAATTGCCAGTGGAGTGAACGGACCGAAAAATCGCAGCAAGACTTACACAGATAGGCATTCAGTATGTTCGCTAGCAAATTATTGACCTGCTCAGCATTGCTAATGCTAAGTGGCGCAGGTGAGTGAGCAAATGACAAACCTAGCAAACCCTTTGCTTACAGCAACAAAAAAAACTGCGTCGTTCTGGAGGCCTTTGTTCATTGTGCTTATTCATCGCAAATTATTTATATTTGCCGTTTATCTGCCGCTCTTCACTCGCCATCTCGCTCGCGCTCACGTAACCAGCTGGGACAGTTTGTAGTGTTTTATCTGCGAAAAAAAAGTACAGAAAATTGTCACGAAAGTACGAGCGATTAAAAGAGTTTGCGTTAGGGGCTCTGGCATTGCGAACAAAGAGCAACAATAATCCGTCAGCGCTGAAGTTTTCCACTTTTATCGAAGTTTTTGGTCGTCCGTTACTCTTCGTTCCAACAAAATGGTGGCCCTTACAGTTGCAGCCCCCAGACACCTCCCCACCCACCCTCTGGCATCGAATACAGCTGGCATCGAATACAGCTGGCATCGACTACCTGCGTTCCGAGAATCGCAGCAATGCAGGCATATGTATTTAATTTAACATCTTGCCGTCGCCTCCCTTCATCAGCTACGTAATTACACTTGATTCTCAGCACAATCTTAATAATTATTTATTTGTCTAACGCGGAAAGCAATTGTTCTCTGCCTACTGCCTTCGCCGATGTGGGCGTCTTTTGTGAACGGTCATTCCCCTATGGATCTCGCACTACTCCGCTTTTAGTTAATGTCATTTGCAGTCTCCGATTTCTTGTGGTCTGAGGCTCGCCAGATATGTAATTTTCCACTGCTAGTTTCCATATGGCGGGAGCATTCGGTTTTACAACTACTACCATTCCGAATGTGTCACACATTAGTTTATGCGATAGTCTGTCTCGCTGATAACATTTGAATAACATATTGTACTTAACAACAATAAGAATAAGCAGATTAGGCAGAAATGGGGAATAGATAATTATCGACCAGCAAGCAATTGTTACAAATATAAAATTTAAAACTTGGTAATAGTATTATTAATGTTGCCACTACAATCTAACCATTAAGCTCTGTTTGGCTTTTTTTGGCAAAACAATACAATTACAACAACAATTCCTCAGCTCATTTAGCTTTTCCTTTAACTTGTATTGAAACACTAGCAAAAACCAGCAAGCATACCTTTGTATGCATAGCCATTTAGTCATTGTTTTCTTACACTTTTCCTGCATGGTTGTGGCGAATCTTATTACCACATGAGATTTATTTTTCCAACATTTCTCTTCTTCACCTGGAAAATGTATTACATGTCTAGGGCGAGACACGCCTCTTGTCTGCTTTCAACCTATCCTCAATCCGTTTCCTTACTTAACTTGCATTTAAAGGTCATCTCTTTAGACTGCATTTACAAACGGCATTGAACTAGAACGGGCAAGCTGGGTTGATATATGTATGACTACACATTGTGTGCAGAGTTTAATGTGTCGCCATCTCAATAAACATTAATATAAATAACAAGAAAAATAGCTAGCTTCGGCAAGCCGAAATGTATGTATATGTGTGTATACCCATGTAGCTGTTGCAAGAATTAAATAATTATAAACATCTACAAAAATTAATCGGGAAATAAAAGGAATTTAATCGGAAATATCGAATTGTTCCTATGGGAGCTTTATGTTATAGTCGTTCGATCCGACTCGTTTTGACTTATATAATACCAGCAACAGAAAGACAACTTTTGGGAGAGACAGACTAGATTGCGTAGAAGACTAGTTTTTGTAGAAACGGAAAGACGAGCGGACGGATAGGAGGAAATGGCTAAATCGAGGCTCCTATGATGCTGATCAAGAATATTTATACTTTATATGGTCGGAATTGTCTCCAACACTGCGTTGCAAACTTCCGACTTAAACTATAATACCTCTGCAAGGGTGTACAAATCTGTTTATGCTACAATTATTCTGTTAGTGTATGAATCACCAACGCTGATTAGGTGCCAAAAACAAGTATTTTCTACATTGGGTTGTTTAATAACTGTATACGAGCAGTGGAAAAGGGGCGGAGGAGTAAAAAAGGGGCAGAAAAGCTATATAAAGCTGCTGACATGTTTTGACCTGAAAATTAAATTTATTTTTTATCATCGGCCCAACAACCACAATGCGAAATGACATAACCTTTAAATCTTCACTCGTATAAGTGCTTTAATTTGTTCAACATGTGTAAATATCTATAACTCTTTGTCCCATACAGTTCATTTGATTTCTCAATTATTAGACAAATTAATTATTCATCGAGTGCCAAGTGACTCATATTCTTGATAAAAGAGCTTCGCGGAAAAGGAACAAAGAAAATGCAATCGCAGCTAAACTGTATGTACATATATTGACACTTCATTTGCTCGATTGGCCTAGCTCCGCCTTTTTTATACCCTTGCAGAGGGTATTATTATTTCAGTCGGAAGTTTGCAACGCAGTGAAGAACTTCTCCTTCTCCGACCCTATAAAGTATATTTATTTTTGATCAGCAACACTAGGAGAGTCGATCTAGCAATGTTTCGACTGTCTGTTCAAATATTTTATTTTATATGTTTATTAATTTGTTCATTAAATCAATACAAAAGAAAAAACACTGGCCTTTTTTTTTTGGGAATTCCCATATAGGACAAAGTTTTTTATATTATCATTTGATTGCGAGCTTAGCCAATACGAATGTCTTCGCTTGAATAGTTTCAAGTTTCTTTTGGACTTTATCCATTTCTCTAATATTTTGTAACAAATGCTTTTAATTTTTATACCCTTGCAGAGAGTTATATAATTTCACTCAGAAATTTGCAACGCAGTGAAGAAGACATTTCCGACCTATTGGTATATATATAAATCGATTTTAAATGTTGTAAAGAATAATGAATTTTTCCAATATCTGCAAGGGTATATAAACTTCAGCATGCGGAAGTTTGCTTCCTTTCTTGTTAAAATAAAATTGCATCATTTTGCTTGGAACAAATGTCCATAAAATGAAGCTTTCAAAAAATAGAAAATGGCAATTTCCTTTGCACTTTCCACAGTTGATATCTGCAGTTCTCGCTCACTAAAACATATGACAAACCGCAACATTTGGACTGCATTTCAAACAATTTCACTGGAATCGATTTGTATGACAGTTTGATTGTTTATCCCTAGAACAAGGCTGTACAAACAAAAAAGTATGCCTTACCAATTTTAATAAGCAAAATTAAATACAATAATTTTCTAAAATTCAAAATCACCTTTTTATTTCAGTGCTCTCTCAAAAGTTGAAAAGTTTGCCGGGTGCCGAATTTAAGATTCCAGATACGACTTCGGAACTGACCAGCACATCCACATCAACCTCAACGACTTCGACAACCACATCCACCTCAACTTCAACGACCACGCCGCCAAAAACCTCCACAACCTCTACTGAGTCACCAAAGACGACGACCACACCAGGACCAGTGCCTACCACGACCCATGCCCCTCAACCTTATCCGGCTCCCTCTGTGGGCACCTGGAATGCCTCCTGCATTATGCTCCAAATGGCAGCTCAAGTTAACTTTACCTATGAGGCAAAGGGTAAGTAAACTAACTTCGCGTTATAGATTGGTTTTAATGAAAATTTAAAGTACTAACCGTAAAACCAAATTATGCGATTGGCTTGCAATTTAGGGAAGAGTGGGTCGAAAGTTTATTTAATTGTCTATCATCTTAACCGGTTCTCGAGGATTTCATGTAACGTTATTGAAAATTTCTAGAACAAAAGCTAAAAGCTTAGTTTTTGGTATACAAAACCGTGCGGAAATAGACTCTCCATGACGCAAAATCGAAACAAACATTAACATTTTTTATGACCTTATATTATAATTGCATTTAGAAGTGAAGGTAGACATTCCCCACCCTAATAAAGTATATATATTCTTTATAAACATCACTTTTTGCATAAAACTTCTCCCAAAGTTGTCTTCCTGTTGAAGGTATATAAAAAATATGTTCGGTTTTAGGGTGTGTATTTTTAAAGAAATGTAAAAAGTTGAGTTTAAACTAATTTTACAAACTTTGTGGAGGTCTAGCATCTATATTATAACATATATGGTTTAATTATATTAATTTATATTCCGACCGAGTTAACCAGAAGCAAGGCATTTATGAGTATTGATATCTGTTTAACGATTTCCGTTCTTTTCCTTTAGATGGAAACTTCACCCACGGCCTGTATAACATCCCCAGCAACGCATCGGTTGAAGACGTGGAGTGTGCAAGTCAGACATTCCAGGTTATTCATCTGAATTGGGGTCCTGATATTTCCAAGCAATCGTTTTTGATGTATTTCGACAAAAAGAACGACACCACCGTGCTCTCATCCATTCAAATCCATCTGAATGTGCTGACCGAAGACTTTCCCGATGCCAAGGGTATGCAGGCTTAGAATATTTTTTACCTATGAATGTGTCACTTATTTGGTTATTGCAGAAAACCAAACGATTCAACTGATTCACAGGGGGGATGGAGAGTTCAAGACACCCGAAAAGATGTCATACCACTGTACTCGCGTTCAGAAGATGAATTTGACCGAGACCCTGGATGCTAAGCAGTTGATTGGATGGATAAGCGTCAGTCACGTCCAGGTGGAGGCGTTCCGGACCTCAAACGCCACAGGATTCTCTGACGTACATGATTGTGACAGCTCCGAAACGTCGGACGTGGTGCCCATAGCCGTTGGCATCGCATTAGCCGCGCTGATATTGGTAGTTCTCATATCGTATCTGTGTGCAAGGCGTCGCTCTACCTCCCGCGGGTACATGAGCTTCTAAAGGAAGAACATTTGCTTCTTTAGGGCAGGTTTGGAATGGATTTTGAGGAGAAAAGCAAATCGTTAGAGAGAAAATTAAGATTGAATTTAATAATTGGAAGCTGTCTGTGAGTATGGGAAACGATCCAAATTGTTTTGTATCTTTTGGTTTGTTGAATTTAAAGTGGTTTGTTTTGTCCAAGACAACATAAAATTCGCGAGAGTGGGAGAAGACGAGAATTAAAGAATCTTGAATCGAAATAATGGTTGAAGAATATCAAGGAGTATGATCTAAAACGCTGTTTATGTGTCTGTAACTGTCAAAATTTGTACTGTAAATTTAAAACAGCTCACTCATTCAAGTTTTTCAACGACACAATTTTCTTAAGAAGATCAACCAAATTTTAAACTTGCAATTAATAGAAGCACACATTTTATTCAATAAACCAATCAGCTATATGTAACTAACGTGTCATTCAAATGTGGTGAAACGGAGCGATGGCCTGGGCTCTGCCTTTAATAATTATGATTAAAACGTATTATTCGCATATTTGACGATACCAACGGTCAAGTTTTCTTTCCAAACGGTCAACACTTAAAATTTTCAAACATTATATCGGAACGTCAATATGTATGTTTTACTGGCCTGAAAAGCGCAATAAAGATTATATTTAAAATAAAAAATAAATATAATTGGTTTTAGAAAATGGGAAAGAGGTTTTTTAAATCGATTGGCCCCTGGTCGTTGGTGTCTTAGGTCGCTAAAGAAGCCACCTTTTTTTTATCTAACTACCTAACCAATTAATTTAAAGAATAAGATGTTGATGAATTTTAATTGTGTTTTAACGTGATTAGCAAACACCGAAATGTTGTAACTTTGAAAGATATTCTTGGGAAAGCTTTTAAATTTATGAATTTACTTCGTAAACCAAAAGGGGAGGCTTTTGACCATTTATTTATTTGTTGTATGCCAAAAAACTCAAGTTTAGTATACTAAACTTGACAACAACAATAATAAGTAAACGCTAGGGTAATACGCCGCAACAACTGACAACACGATATACTCTATTGTTGACAAAAATATTTATTCAAAGGGGCAACAAGCTTTCGGCATTCATTTCTGTATCATCATCTGAATCGTCTTTGCTCTGATGTGCTCGATATATGCCAGTGCGAGGACGTTCTGTTGGAGGTCCCAAAGGATCAAACTGCTGGACTGCAATAACAAAAAATATAACACAATACAAAAGTTTTCTTAGAAGCTGTCAAAATCTTACCGGAATAAGTGGCGGTACTCTGAGTATAGGTCATACTTTTGGAGATATCGCTGTTCTCTTGCAACCGTTCCTCATTAGATTGCCTGATAGCTGCAGGATTAGTTAAGAAAATATGTGATTGCAAAGATACTAACATGTAGTCTGTCTGGCCGTCCGATTGAGCGTCGAGGTCTCGGTAGCTATAAAAGCTAGACGTTTGAAATTTAACATGCAGTTTCCATTTATTCTTATGCATAGCAAGTTTATTTGAAAACGTTGCCACGCCCACTATAACGACCACAAATCGGGAAAGTCTGTCATGTCGATCTGAGTCAGGAGCTGTGTGTGCGTTTCGGTCATATAGTAAGTATTATTATATTATAATTACTTCGCAAGCGGCTGCTGGACGAGGACGCCGAAGAGAGCCGATGCTGCTGGTATCGCTGCTCGTTCTGCCGCTCCTGCTGCTGCTTTTGCAGGCGTGCGTAGTCCACTGCGTACCTATCATGCAAATCACCCAAGCCCAACGACTTGGTAACTTGCATCAAAGCTCTTACGCAGGTGAAGTTGTCCGGAAAACGGGCGTAGATCTTTTGGAACATGCCCAGGTACTGCTTGGGCGGCAGGTACGAGTTGCGGAAGCAACTGGCAATACGCAACATTAGGTTTGGATCGTTGGGATCGGCTAGGACAGCCCGTTCGTAGTAGTACAGGGCCTTTTCCGTGGCCTGGAGCTTAATGTAGTAGGAGCCGATGGAGCTGGCGATGCTGATGTCGCTCATGTTTATGCGGTACGCCTCATTGTAGTACTGGTTGGCCTCCTGATGGTCCTGTATCTGTTCGTATAGGGACCCGACTTTCTCGAACAGCCGCGAATCGATGTCGGCAGCAGAGATGCCAAGCACCTGGAGATACGCCTGTAGTGCCGCTCCCGGTGTAGCGGTGGCCATAAATCCGCCTCCAAGGCGGCGCTCTTGCAACTTGGCCAGCTGATAGAACACATGGCTGTGCTGCACAGAATGGGGCGTCATCAATTGGGTCTTTAGAAGCTCGAAACGCTCCTCGGCCAGATCGAAATCTTGCTGCGCCAAGGCCACTAGGCCGAGGTTGTAGTTGGCCTCAAAGTTTGTCGGCTGAAGCTGCAGAGCTCGCTCCAAACGTTCGCGTGCTGAATTGAGGTTCTGCTTCCGCATGTCTACTATACTGGCATTGATCAAAGCTAATGCGTTGTTTTCCAGCGCTCCAATTTCCTGAAGCTGGTTAAGACAGTGCGTGGCCATTTCCAGGTTGCCTAGCTGAAAAATAATTTTGTTGTTAACAAAAAAGGTATTACAGTTAGTTTTTTTATATCATGAAATCATTGGAAGTTCCTAGACGGATTTTCTTTTATTTCATCATACCATTGCAGACGGTATTATAATGTCAGTAAAAGGACTTCATAAAGTTTTTAGTTAATGCCCAGAGACCCTGTGCAGACCACTACACGGATTGATTACCCTGTCCTTAAAAATTTCGGAATTCCTACCTATTTGCATGAGAAGGGAAATAAATCAAATACAAGCAAGAATAGAAGTATCTTAAAGTTGTCACTATCACCAAGCTTTTTGAAAACGTTTTAACACGGATTTATATGACGTAGGTCTACGACGACAAACATATTGCAACTCACGTCTTTCGTATAAATGGAATAAAGGTGTTCAAAAAAACTCAATGATCCCTATGTCACAAAGACTTTATTTATATCACAAGGACACCCAATCCTGGAGTCTTGTTGTCCAGTTTGGAGTCCTCTATTGGGTGTACATATAGACTGGATAGATTCTGTGCAAAATAACTTGAAACTATTTTCTCTATAGGGCCTTAACTGGGATGCAAACTTTACCATCTTACTCGAGTAGATTTATAAAAATTAATAAAACAATTTTAACCAACCGAATACCATGACTTTTAAAGGTTTAATTCAAACTTTATTGTTAAAATGAATTCATCCCGCTAAATTTAACGTTTGAAAGCTCGCAGATTTTACCTTTAACTACAACTTAAATGTTTTTCGTGTATCCAAAACTTACACTTATATAGATGAAACTGAGGTTGGTCAGAGCGCTGGCTGTCAGGGATCCTTCACTTTTACGGTCATACATTTGAAGCGTTTCAATCGCTTGATTTACGTCATTTTGCCTAAGGTAAACTAGAGCCTTATTTAGTTCAAGTTCGTTGGCCAACCAGGCCAGATTTGACGTCTTGATGATCTCAATACACCAATTATAGCCTGAAAAGCATGTTAAATAAGTGATGTATTTCGTGAGGAATCAAAAAGCTCGAAAAACTAAATTAAATGGATAAATCGATACTGCCCATAAAAGCTCACCATCATTATAGTTTTCTTCGATTAATGGAGAGATCAGATCCACAATCATTGTAATGGATCGCTTCTCCGCATTACGGCGTTGATTGGTGTAAACGGCAAGCTCGTCTTTCTTAAGGGCTCTGAGAACATAACGCTGTTTTGCCTTTGCGGAAACCTTCACGGACTCCTGTACTTTTTCGTACGAGTTTCCACCCTCTGCATCGATCACCGCCACTTCCACGCCACCGTTGTCTACGCGATGTGAGGACTTGTGCATGTCCGGATCGTCAGATTGTCCAACCTGGTCCGCCTGCTGCTGCAGTTTGATGATATTGCTCTCGCTACCTAGATCGGTTTCCGTTTCCCCGGCCTGGACATCGCAAAGGCTACGAAAGGCCAACTTAATCTTCTCCACGTCGCCCACTGCGTAGTAGCACAGAATGAGGTGGATGCCACTCTTAATGTCCGCCCGCTCCGACATAATAAACTCAAAGCTGGAGGCGGCCTCTAAGTAGGAGCCCATGCGAACGAAGAGGACTCCAATGTTTTCACGGATCTTAAGCCGCAGCTGGCTCAAGTTCTTCGGAACCGAATCGAGGGCCATGCGATACATTTTTACGGCTTTCTGGTAGATTCCCATGTTGTAGTAGATGTTGCCCATGTTAATTTTTAGCTGGTTGACGTGTGGAAACATCTTGTTCTTGGTCATAATGCTGTAAGTGTTGAGGGCCTCGATATGCAAGTCATTACGTTCGTACTGCTCGGCGAGATTAAAGAACACCTGTAACCAAAACATTTTATATTTGTTTTTACGCTATTACTATAGTCTCTCACCGCATACGTCAAGTCGAAGTTGTGATAAACATTCTCGCCCTGCTGGTCACGAAATCGGTGCAAGGTTCGATCCAATGAGAATGCTTCCTTTGCCTTATTCAACGCCTCGGCCAATGCCGACTTCACCTCCGAGGTTGCATCACCACTCGATCGAGCAGAAGTGCTTTGCCAAGCCAATACAATTGATGATTCTAAGAGCTTTACGATCTTACTCTCCAGATTCTTGTACTTGATTTGTGGACTATAATCATTAAGCTAATCTTTAGACATTTTCCAATATGTTTATAAAATAAGAAAGGAAGTAAACTTCGGCAATCCAAAGTTTATATACCCTTGCAGCTATTACATAAATTCAATATTCTTTAATACATCTAAATTTCTAATTATATATGCGTATATGTTTAAAATCATTGAAGCTATTATTTTTCTCAGCTCAATTATTCGATCGTTCCCACGTCATTGTTTTCCGATTTTAATTCTGAATTATTATTCCATTACTATGTCCAAAAGAATTACAAAAAAAAAAATAGAAAATATAAAAGTTAAATTTTGTTAAATAAAATTTTAATATTTCGATTGTTTCCATGGGATATTAATGAAATTAAAAACGTTGTTCTGAAATAATACACTATTACCATACCTCAAAAACCAAACCACACCATACCTAAAAAGCAAGAAAGTAAGCAAACTTCGGAAAGCCGAAGTGTATATACAATTGAAAACATTTAAATTTCGATTTAAAGTGAAAAACAGCAAAGTAATCAAATTTTTTTTTCATTTATTTTTTCGATTGTTTCTATGGGAGATATATGCTACAGTCGTCCGATCCGGCTTAGAAACGGACGGACGGACGGATAGACGTACATGGCTAGATTGACACTCCTGATCGGAGATGTTTTCTTCACTGTGTTGCAAGCTTCTGACTCAAATTACAACACCCTTTGCAAGGGTTTAAAACAGCAGTTCCCGGTCGTTCCGACCTATACACTACCTGCAACAGGAAGACAACTTTTTTGAATGTTTTATGCAGATAGCTTTACAACTGAGAAACTAGCTTGCGTAGAAATGGACGGACGGGAGGACGGACGGACGGACAGACAGACATGCTTAGAAAGACTCTCCTAGTGATGGTGATCAAGAATATATATACATTATAACGTCGGAAATTATAATACAGTCTGCAAGGGTATAAAAATCTTTGGTTTTACTCACTTTACTTCCTTGGCGGCATCAACAGCGTTTGTCGACGAGAGAGTTTGTTGCTTGGCTTTTTCGAGGAAAAACTGGTCAAACCTTTGGCCAGCAGATCCGCTATTGGCCGCATAGCCTACCGCCCGGACTGCAGTTGATGGCCTAGCTAGACCTGACTTATCGCCTCCTACTGCTCGACTACTAACCAGATTGCCGCGCTGAATTACAGGAATTACTAAGGGAACTAAAATGGCCATAAATTCCCAGGACTCACCGAAAAGAGCTGAGAAGTGGGCGGCCTTGGCCTGCCAGCCGCCGTTGGTGGTGGAGGAGGAATAGCTTCTGTTTCAGAGCCAGCTTCCAACAATTGTGGGTTATTACTTACATCGCTTTTAGAATTCATTTTGATTAAGTTGATATTCTTCGGCAGTAAATCAAAGGCCGATTATTCAAAATATGTTTGTTTTGTCTTAATAATAACCAATGTCAGGGGGTTGGCGTTTGTTTTGGTCAAGTTTCCTTGGTGATCAGAAGTCAGACTGGCGGTATTTTCCTAAATTGGTATATGACCAGCCAAAAAATACCAACTTCAAAAATTTTATTAAATTTTTTGAAGCGACAAAACTTAATTTATTTGAATAATAAAATAATGTTTAAGCTTTAAAGATCTTACGATACTTTAAATCAAATAAATTTAATATCGTCAGCATTTTTTCCCAAAATTCTTTTCTTTTGTAAATGTATAAATGTCATTAAAACATTAATTAAAACTTGTTTTCCAATTTTCTTTCCTTTTAAAAAACAAAATATGTCCTTTTTGAATAACAATGTAACAGTCAATTTTATTGCGCTATAGTTGTAAACTTGCTCAGATAACAACATTTACCACCTGATAATGCCTGTTGATTAACCGATTTCGGTATTTTTTACTACAAACAGAACGTTCTTTAACTTTATATAAAGGTTGTTTTGCTTTTTCAAATGCTAGAGCTCCGGATTTAGGATTTTAACGCCTGTAAAGTATATGTTAAGCGCCATTTGCAGATGTTAATGAAGACAACAGGGGTCTAACTGTAAAAAACACTATTTTCGGAGACAGAAAAATCGGTATAGAATCGTAATCGGCTTATGTTCGGTTTAAATGTGTGTAGTTTGTATGAATTTATTTATGGTCGCAAAGCAGGAATTTTAGCAACTTTTTAAAATTTAAAAAAGCAAACCAATCAGTATAAAAACAATGGAAAAGCTATCTAACTGTATCGATCCTTTCATTGTTTTTACTAAGTTTTGGGCTTCAATTTTAGTGTAAGTTGCTTATATTTTAAAATAACAAAAATAATAGACCAGATAACCCCCTTAAAGATGCATTTTAAATTGGTGTTGTGTATGTATGTACATAGTAATGACTTTCAGAGAAAAATAATGATATGCATGTACATATGAATGCACAAACGTGCTGGATAGCCGTCAACCTTTTTTTTATGACATTTTTACAATGTTTAAGTAAGAAATGATGCCTGAGGTTAAACAAACTGCAGCCAGTGTCTGGACCTTTCCTTGTGTTATTTTAAACAATTTAGCTGGGGAGATTTAATAAAGACAAGGGGACCTAAGGCGCCAAACGAAGTGTAATCTGATTGCATACAACAACGGTACTAAGAGCGTAAGGATGATGAGGAAGATAAGTGTCATGTTCTGGTGACTGCCAGGGGGGTTTGCTTAATCAAATTCAAATTCAACAATCAAGTTTTTGGTTTTCAGATTTTTTCTGGAAAAACCAATATAATGCACGTTTAAATAAAAAAAAGTCCGAATCAGCATTTTGACAATTTTGCTAAATTTGACTTCTTATCAGACATTTTCTTTGTATGTATTTATTTCTTTTTGTTATTTTTTTCTAGCTTTCGTTATTTTTGCTTACCGGAAACTATGGACTCTTTTAAGAGCGTATGTGAGGGGTCAAAAACCGACCAACTACCAAAGTTAAAGTTTCTTGCTAAAATTTTATTTAGAACAAATTAAGAGAGGTTCTTTTTTGTCTCGACGGTTTCACTGAGCGTGTGAAGTTTTACATCCAATTGTCGAAAGTTTTCAGCCCCTTACTCTCGTGTGAGACTGGGCGTGATTGCACTCAATATTGTACTTTGTCTTGTACTTTATGCGCCACCGCACAATCATTAAAGTTGAAATAGAATCTGGTCTGCTTTTTGGTCATCATCTTATATGGGCCGCCCACCCCTTTAACTTCGAAATTTTTTGATTATTTGTCATTGTGCTGAAATTAATCAGTCATTCTTTTTCTTTTTTTTGGTCGGTTCCATAGGCCATCACAAAAGAAGACTGATTGTTCGACCTATTGGTCGAATTTAAGTTGTTGGAGACCCATCGATAATTGCACAGTACGGGGAACTCATCTATATCGTTCTTTCTTGTTTTTGATGGTAAACGTAAAACTCCTGACAGTAGGACAATGCCTCAGGAGAGGACTCAGCCCAATCCCAAAGCAAGAAAAATCAAAGCGCTCAATTTACTGTCTTTACATTAAATGAGTTTATTTACCGAGTTTACCGATCGGTAACAAGTTAACACTCAAACATCTTTAATTACAATGACCTAAGGAGTGTTAATGCGCAGAAGTATAAAACAACGATGGATTCAAGAAACGCAAAAGCATGCAGCATCAACAGGGATAAAGCAATCGACCGCGACCAACGCTTCCTAAGTTGGTTAAGAGCTAAGACCGATTTGGTTTGCGGGCGCTTAGCTGAAAACTTTGCGCCCAAAGAAGTTTAAGAAACACAAAACTACAAAAAGTTTTTGTGGTTACTGCATTTTTTTCCACTACTTATTTATTTTTTCTTTTACTTTTTTTGTGTAAGCATCACTGGTTTTGCCAAATATGACGGAAATATTTAATGATTTCCGCTTGCAGTAGTTGTCCGTTGTGAGCTCGGCAAACGAAAACAAATCGGCGTTTCTTAAGTCAGCAAAAGTCGCACTCACAAGCATTCAGTCCATTATTTTAGGTCTCCCGAAAATGTTTGAATGGCCGAAGCCACACCCAGAAAAAAATGAACTAAAAAGTGAAAAAATTACATAAAATTTTAGGAAACATGGCCTAGAAAGGGCGCTAAGACCATTTATGGACTAAAGTTTAGGAATCCATGACCTAAACATAACAGGCCAGAAAGAAAAAAAGAGTATTTTTTAGGTCATAGACAACCAAAACTTTTCTAAACAAAAATATGCTACTCAAGACCTTAAATTTAGGATAGAAGAATGACCTAAGTTTTAGGTTATTGGAAACCTATAAATTTGAGAAAACTTTAATATAAAATTAATATGTGTAAGATATATAAATCTTACCATATATATGGCTTATTTAATTTTACTTTTAAAATTAATTTTAAGAAAATATGCCAATTTAACCACCACCGGCAGCCCCGAAAGTTTACACTTAAGTATAAAAATCCAATAAAAATCACATTACTGCAGCGTCGGAAGTTTGCGTTTGTATTGGGGGAAGGAGAAACCATCATGGAAGTTTTCTTCGACCCACACATTTAACTTAGTCGCTTAAGAAATGCAAATGATCGCCGAGTCAGCCATTTGACCAAGAGGTTGAACGGAAGTTGAAAACGAAGGTAAGAAAAACAAGAGCGCTAAAATGACAGTCCCCATAAAAGGCTTTTAAGTAGCTAATGGTTCGAATAACTATACTAACACTTCACTTTGAAGATATTTCAATTCTATCTTTATTATTTATACACTTTGCATTTAAATCGCCACTAAGCAGTCTATGTTTATTAATGCCCCAGATAGTAAGTACATTTTTTTTGGTGTTCGAAAGTGCAGTGTTACTAAAAGCTTATAAGAATTTTTTGTAAGTCATCATATAAATGTTAAATATTTTTATCAAGAATTGAATTTATTCATATAATTACCATATATCTTTGGAAGATTTTGTTAATCTAAATTAATATTTTTGCGTTTCATTTTTTTTGTATCTAAAATATTGATTTTTATAATAATTATTATTTTTAAAAAATGTTATACAATTGAAAATTTAAAAATCTTTGAGAAAATAAATAGATTGACCAAAGCGGATCAATATGACGTTTGCATTTTTTTTCGTATGTCGATTTTTGGTGATTGATTTTTTATTAAAAAACTGCAAAAAACAGATGCAAAAAAGGAGCATAAAAATAGTACGCTACCTTTTCTTGATATGTATCAAGCTTTTAGCATATATCGATGCTAGAAAATATCGATGAGTACAAACAGAAAAAGAACGTATTCTATGACAAATATAAATTAAAAATCATAAATTCTTTAACTCTTTAATTATTTTGGAATAGTTTTTTGTTTTGGCCATTTGAGGAAATGTTTTGAGGTATTCTAAATATAATTGAAAGCAAGTTCATTCCATAATCTTTCAATATGTATATATGTATTTATTTAATTTTTATTTTAAATAATAAAAAAAGTTTTGCATAAGACATCCGGAAAATAGATCCCATTAAAATTTTGTTAATTTAAATTAAACGTATTTATAAAAGACACTCTGACATAATATTTTGTAAAGTAATTGTAATGATTAGATCTTTGTTTTACCTAACTTTGCTTATGAATTTTTCATGTTATTAATTACTTCCTTCACAAAGTCATTTATTTCAGACTGCAGTCTGTTGCTCTCCTCCATAATTCGTGTCAATTTTTAAGCTCCTCTGCTTTATTATTTTCTTCCCTTATGGCCATTTTTTATGACTGTAGCCCTCGCTTCCGACCTGCAACCTCATTTGTAGTTTCCAAACTACAGACGGTTCGTCAGTCAATTCATTATAATAGTCTTCCAAATACTCCGTATACCCAGAAAAACAAATTGCCTTAAGGTAAAACATTTTTAGGCAATAAAATTGCTTAAATCTGTATTTTAGGCGACAAACATTAGGCGCCAAAAAATCTAAAATAAAATAAAAAGAATTATTTTTAAACCCTTGCAGAGGGTATTATAATTTTAGTCAGAAGTTTGCAACGCAGTGAAGGACACGTTTCCGACCCTATAAAGTATATATATTATTGATCAGCATCACAAGCAGAGTCGATCTATCCATGTCCGTCTGTCCGCCTGTCAGTCTGTCCGTCTGTCATTGGATAAAAACAGTCTCAGACTACCGTAATATTTTTAAAACCGGGTATTCAAATTTATATGTACATAACCAATAACGGTGGGACACTACCACAAACTGGGACACTTGTCAGGCGTAAAAGATGTGCCAGCTGCTCCTGTAAGTACCAAGACCAATTATGCGCACATTTCATGCATAAGAAAATTCAATTCCACGTTCATTTGCACACGCAAATCAAATTTATTTGCGGCAAACACACTTTTAGGCAGGACCTGGCCAGGCCACCAAGTGGCAGATGCCCTCCCCGTGCAAGTAGTTGAGTCTGTCTTTCCGTCAGACCCGCGGTTATAAAAATCAGAAATTTCGTCTTTGATAGCGATGTGACTGATGGATTCTTAAAGAGAAGGTAGTAGGTACATTTTCGCTTTTCTCAGTTCGTTCTACTTACTTTTTTTTTAAGAAGCATATATAAATTGGCCCATCTATCGGTTGCTTTTTAAAATGGCTATAAAAAAACGGTGGATACTCTTGAAATATAGTTTTTGTATTGAATATATCATATTTATATGAATATATTATATTATTTGTGAAAGACCACGTCCATATGGCTGCGCCAAAAGGCCTTGCAACAGGTCATTCGAACGACCCAATTTTTTAAAAGTAACAAATTGTACTTTTCCGTGAAAATTGAGTGCTTCTGAATAAAAGTTCCATATAAACTTATGTTCCATCAGGGTTCCGCGGTATAGCCAAGAACACTTTCCGATGCTAGAAATTTTTTTAATTACACTAGCTTACATCCGAAATACCCCCAAGCCAAAAATACAAATTTCTGGTAGAGTACGACTTCTGGATTACATGTATACAACTAAAAATGCTTTCTTTGTAAGGTTTTTGTCAGCTGTTTTTTCAAGTTTTTATATCTCGAATTGTGACCAACCGATCTTGATGCATTTTACAAAATTTTACTACCAAAAGATCAATATTTAACATTGTCATACTGAGTAATTAGAAAAAAATCCATTGAAAAATCCATATAAATTGAAATTTACTGTTGGCGTCCGACTTAACCGGACAAGCCCATTCTGCCAGAAATTCATTGGAAATTCGATTTCATATAGATTTTTTAAGTTCGTTTTTTTTGGCCGTTAATCACAATTTTTGAACATCTTAAAGGACTGTATTTAGAAAAAATAAAGTTTTATGTCGAATTTCTTAGTATTAGGGTTATTTTTTTTATGAGTGTAGCATGTTGTACACCAGCGGGTCGGTCTACCACACACAGTGGTTTGTGTGAATAATTTGCACGGCGAAACTTGTCAATGTGTATATGCCGCCAACTGCGATTTCATAAAATTACTGCCGTTCAGCGACGCTGTTGGTGCTCTAAGAAATAATCTTGTCTTTAAAAAATATATATTTTCTGTTTAAAGAAATATTTTTCTTGATTAAAGAAATATTTTTTCATTTTTCCAAATATTATATTTTCTGTTTTAAGAAATATTATTTCTTATTTTGAGAAAGAGTTTTTCTTTTTTTCAAGAAGTAATATTTCTTGGTTTAAGTGTGGTATTTCTTGTTTGAAGAAAAGAATCAGGAATTTTCTTCAAATGAAGGTGACTCGCTTTGGCGAAAATTCAATGACGATTTTTTTAGAATTTAGGGTGAAAATTTCTATATGTGTTAGGTCGAAGATGTTCTCTGCAAGAGTATAAAAAAGACGATAAAATTTTTTTGATCTGTACGAATTGCTATTTGTCTGCTGCTCCTGCTGCGGCAAAGTTGTTGTTTTATTTATTGTTTGCGCTCATTTGAGTCAATTACGACAAACGGAGATTGTTAATTGTTTTGATAGCGTTCTTTCCTCGGCCATTCAAGTCTAAGACAAACAAGCCGCATCCTGGTCATCCGACCTGGTGCTTTGCACTGTTTCCCTGGCTCGTGTTATATTATTTATTCGTTTGGAGTTAGCTCTTTGTTTTCGCTCGACTACGTTCATTTGCTGTTTTTTTGTTAGACATTTGCTCTCAGCAGTTGGCCTTTGTTTGCTTTTGGCCAATAAACGGCCATCTCAGTGCCGCCATAGCAGCTCTCTTGGGTCGTATTTAATGGCGCGTTAAACATTCCTTTCTTCAGGACGTCTCCCAATCCTAGGCATCTGGTGCTCAAATTCCTTGCTCCCCTTTTGCTCTGGACTTGTTGCCAGTTTATCAGGGTAAGATTTAATGCATTTTTTCCCCATGCTTGATAAAAGCGTAAGGTCAGGGTTCAGTTTTCAGTCGAGGCATATGCTTTTTCATAAAAGTAAAATGTAAGTAAAATGCCTTCAATTATAAGGTAAAATCATTAGATAACAAAAAATTATGAATTATGTTTATAAGCAATCTGTTATAGCACTACAAGTTAATTTAAAAGACCGAATATGTATAGCAAACAATAAAATTGAAAAAAAATGGGAATTACATTTTTGGCCGATTTATTTAAAGAAACACACTGCGCTTAAACAAAATACCGTCAAACAAAAAAAGAAATAAATTCAACAAGCCGCAGTTTATGTATCCTTGCAGCTTATCAAATATTAAATATTCTTTAAAATATCTTAATTAGCATTTTGCAGTTCTTTTTCATATAAAAAATTATCCGAATATTTTAAAATTTTTTTGAACTCGTCGAGTGGTGACTCGTAGACTCAAATTTGATCGAACTTGGGATGCACTGATTTTTTTATCTACTGCTTAAAATTTATCTCTGCGCTTGTCCCGTTGGTCAACTAAGGGTGGACGCCCAGATCGGGGTTGCTTATTATGATTTTTTGGGTCTTAAGCATGTTTTCTTTTGTCCGTTTCCTTACTTCTGCCACATCCCCATATCTCGGGGTGCCAGTATCGTTTAGATGAGTAAAAGTGGATAAAACTTAATTTTATTAAATTTTTCATTAGCAATGAAAGCAAAATAAAATAGTTCAAATTGATTTTAGCAACTTTACACAAACCAATGCAAAGCCCACTTAATTATTTTGATTCAAAGACCAACTTCATTTATTAAAAATGCCCGTACCGGATAACCTTGCAGTAATTTTTCGGTTCTCTATGCCTGTGACAAATTCCAATAAAAAAAATTCTAGGAATTGATTTTGTGGACAAAACAGTCATTAGTAAAGACATTTGGACACTTATATGCTAGAGTCGTCCGGTTCGGTTCGTTCCGACTTATGTTCATATATACTACCTGCAACAGAAAGACAATTAACAGGAAAGTTTCACGCAGATAGTGATGCTGATCAGGAATGTATATACTTTGTAGAGTCGGAAATGTCTCCTTCACTGCGATGCACACTTCGGGCTGAAATTATAACACCCTCTGCAAGGGTATATTAGTAGCATTATCACTGCCATATGTGAATATAAATAGTATTAGGCTCCGATTTTTTATTTAAATTTTAGATATACACTTATTTTCTTGACTTCAATTTGGTTTGTTGAAATAGCATACAATAAGACAATTGGTTTCAAAAGTTTGGAATTTTAACATACTCAAAAACACATGTTATGTTGGAAATGTAATAAACGGGACTCCCAAGTGTCTTTTCCAAATGTTACTTGTGGAGTATCGAAAATCCTGAACGTTAAATGTCTAGACAAGGGATGGACCTGGAGCCTGTGAATTGTAGCTGTATAGTATCAGTAGATTAACTTAACGTTATGTTTACCTAACTTCCATTTAGCCTGGCATTTTAAATTTTTTGTGATCGGATCTGGAAGTACCTCACACGGCTTTTGCTGATTCTTTTGCCTATCCTGAATATCTTCCGATCCAATATTCGTAGAGGAACCTGTTAATATTATCCATAAGACATAGTTTAATTACAGCCCAAAATATTACCTTTTTTAATTGTGTGCACGGACTTGGCGATTTTACCGGGTGTGTCTTGCCTAATTTTAACATCAGAAATTTTTTGTTGTGAATGTTCAACTATCTCTGACTGCTCAGTCAGCGTTGGAGCGTTTTTCATAGCGCTCTTTTGACGTTCCTTTGCATTTTTAAAATCCGCCTCCTTGGAAGGTATCTTATATTGCCAACGAGCACTATGATTTGTTTGAGGCTTGAAATCGATAATGCCGATTAGGTGATCCGATTCCATGCCCCTAACTGGCGCGCCGGAAGACCGTGGCCGTTTCGTCTCGACCACTGCAATGTTAAGGGACATCAAATTTGCCAGCTTTTGGACCGTCTGCGGCTCCTTGGTCAGGAGCTCCTTTGCCAGCAGATCCTCCGCAGAGCGGTCGTTCCGTTTTTGTATGTAGTGCGCCTTAAGGGACTCATTGCTCCTGCTTAGTTGTGCAGCTGCTTTCTTCAACTCGAGTGTCCTGTTATGCTGTGGCGTTCGAGCGGTCTCCAGAAGCAGGCTGACAGGTGAGTTTTTCGACCAGATCAAATTATCCGGCATTTTAGTGGCTGCTTCGCTTGCGACCACTTGCTCCAATGCCACCGGCCGATGTACGTCGTGGGCATTCTTTGATTGCTGGCACATAAAAATTACTACTGAAAGTAAAAGAATACGCATGGTTTGTTTATATATGTATAACTCAAACAATTGTTTATCCTGAAATCTACAATAATCTTTTGAATTTTTGCCAAAGGCTTATCACCGCTATTTGAAGAAATTTTTTCTTAAATTAATGATTGTTTCTTTAAAAAAAAGAAAAGCAGTCATTGTTTCGAGAAACTATATTTCATACATTGACAGTTCCGAACTAGCGATATCCCTATGTACCCGTGATGTGGACCTAACCCCGTTCTATGCACTCGCTCGTCATTTTGTCGAGAAGTTTATACCGGCATGTATTAGGCTGTGGTCAGTAGCGAACTTCTGCATTGACTTTCGCCACAAAAGGGGGGCTGGTAGCACGCCTTTTATCTTTTCCTGTCGACCGCTGCATAAGCGGAAACAGGGGGAGGCCGGTTTTAACCCAACGGTCGATTCGCCCAACCCTTCCTCTATTCTAACAGAAACATTCACTTACCGTTGCGCCAGCGATTCAGTTGTTTCGAAATGTTTGTAGCACCATCAATTTTATTTAGAGCCATAATGTAACTTAAAATTTAATAAGAAAACAATTTTTATGTTTCAAAGCTGTTGTTCTCTTGTTCCAAATTAAAGTAATAATAAAATGCTGACTTCTTTTTAAATATATAGTTACAATATCAAAGGTGACTTGTTAAAAATCTTATGGCAGCTCAGATTCCTTTTTTGTTTTCCGAAACGCTTCACTAACAGGGTCAATTAGTGAGGACCTTTCTAACAACGTTTCTCATAATCAAGCATTTTGGCTTGGTCTAGATTTTACTAAATACCCAATTCCGCCACCAATTTTTTGAAAACCATGGTCATCATCAAAAAGGTTCAGTCCCAAACGTGCCATTTCTTTTTTCGCTTAGAAAATTTTCTCACGCTTTTTGGCTAGTCCTTTTAGTGGTGTTTAAAGGTTGGTAGACTTTAAGTGCTACACCGTTCTTGTGGTTTGGCTTCGATTTTGTTTACCGTAAAACATTTGCCATTCAGCGTTCGTGTATCGCTCGTCACCTAAGCGCATGAAAAGTTTTTCTATCTTACCTTACTTCATGCTTTGTGTATATTTTTTATGTGCACTTTACTGAAAGCACATCACGTTTTGTACCTGATTTGCTGACAGTCCTTGGACATTTTAGACAGAACCCATCAATGGGGAGCTTTTTACCCGAGCTGCATACAAAATTCTGATCAAATAATTGAGATTAATTGTTTCGCAAAGTATTTCGTTAAAAAACAAGAAAAGAAGCAAACTTCGGCAAGCCAAAGTTCATATACCCTTGCAGCTATTGCAAAAACTAAATATTCTTGAAAACATTAAAATTATGATTTACCTGCGTATATGTTATATTAATATATATATTAAGTCAAAAAGATTTTTTTAAAAAAATTAAAAAATAGAAAAGATACATTTAAAAAAACAAATTATAAATTTGTATTATTTCTATGGGAGCTATATGATATAGTCGTCAGATTTTAATGAAATTTAAACCGTAATTCTAAAATGTTTAATTATAACTATATGATTAAAAAATACAAAAAAAATTTAAAAACAGCAAAGTTATAATTTTTTTTATTTTTTTCCAATTGTTCCTATGAAAGCTATATATTGTAGTCGTATTCTGAATTAATTAACCATTACAATATGTCGAAGAACTTAAAAAAAATTAAAAACAGCAAAGTTATAATTTTTTTATTTATTTTTTGCGATTGTTCGTATGGGAGCTATATGCTATAGTCGTCCGATCCGTTAAACATTTTTAAAAATAAAATTTTTTCAGAAAATCTTATATTACACGGCTCAAAAAATTGAAAAACGGGCTAAGTTTAAAAAAAATAAAATCTTTAAAAATCCCAGCGTGAGCTAAATTGAGTACCCTCGCAGAGAGTATTATAATTTCAGTCAGAAGTTTGCAACGCAGTGAAGGAGACATCTCCGACCCTATAAAGTATATGTATTCTTGATCAGCATCACTAGGAAAGTCGATCTAGCCATGTCCGTCTGTCTATCCGTCCGTCTGTCCGTCCGTCTGTCCGTTCGTTTTTACGCAAACGACCCGCATCATCTTTGAAGAAATACGGCCCAGTGAACTTTCAATAAAAATTCTATAATTTGGAACCTTTGTTCGTTTGTTAAACGATTAAAATATTAACCAGGGTTACAAGACAAAAAACTAGCGTTAACTGTAAAAACTAAGGCTGCCAAAAAGAAAGTTGCTAAAAAATAACCATTTATTTACAATAGAAAGGTATGCCTTGAAATCTGAATCAAGCTAAAGTACTTTTTAACTCTGTTTCCTTAACATATCTAGCTTAGTTGAACATTGGAATTCAAACTCTTTGGACATAAATTCAAATTTTATTTTTATTTTTCCGTGCTAAGCAACTACCGTGAGTTGATCTTGTTTTGAGTTTCTATTTTGTCCTAATACTTATTTTTATAGGACAAAGCAGATCACCATGTGCAGCTTTCCTTGCTATCCTTGCGCCGCTTTGTGTCCCTGCGGAGGTAGTGGACCAAGTGGATTCTACGATCCTTGTTTTGGTCCCTACAACGGTCCTTTTAACTCTTGGTGTGGGGCAAGCGGTCCTGGCTTCTGGCGGGGTGGTTGCTGCTAATTTTTGTCGTGGGTTGCAAGACCAAAAAGAAGCTTTAGCAACTTTAGTTGCTTGCAAAAAATCGGAAACGTTAAACGTAAACTCGTCATATTTTTACAAACCCTACTCTTAATATGAATTTCCAGTCGAATCTCTTGCAATGGCTTAAAACGGAAAAATAAAAACTGTCGAGGACGAAGATTAATCTCTTTAATTGTGTAGCTGTGTTCTAACATGTCTGATATGACAGTCGACAGACTTTCACGCTTTGATCTAGTGTTTACAATTTCCGAGGTCCCGACGTACGCTAGATCGACTCGGATTTTGATTCTATATTATAGGGTCGGAAGCGATTCCTTCTAGCTGCTACAGTTTTCAAAGAATTTATTATACCTCTTACTCTATGATTTGGTTATCGTTTAAAACGAACTTCTAAAATAATACATTTATTTTAAAAACATACACGGATACCATTGACTAAGGTCTAACCATGTATTAAAATGTCGTGATAGACTTTCACGATTTGTGGGCTTGGCTCCGTTTTTAAATAAACTATTTGGACGTGCTTATGTTCTTTATTAAAAAAAATGTTATAGTAAACCTAAATACACCGCACAATTTGAGAAATTAGGGCTGAGTATTTTTTTAATTATGTTTAGTTTTCTTTTATGTCTAAAGATATTGACAACTCAAATTTCAGCTATCTGGCATAAAAGTCTATAGTTAAGTAAATTAAACCGCGTGAGATGTAGGCATTTCTAAGATGTCGAAACGTCGGAAAGAACGCCCTAAAAAGCACAGAGGAAATTAACGTGATTGTATTCATTTACACTCACACAAGGGACAGGGACACACAGGAGACGGCTGAATAAATGAAATGATATTAGCCGCCATTTTCAGTGGTTTTGTACGAACAAAACGCGTACACCACATGTGTGCAAATTAGATTTTACGGAATAACGCATACTTTTAATTACAGGCAGCTTACAAATTTTTTTTAATATGAATATATTTGCAATTTAAAATCTTTTAAATTAGAGGCTTTTGTCTTTACAAAAGTTAATGAAAAATTAGGTAAATAAAAATGAAGGATAAGTGGGCAAAATAAGTTTACAAACATTATGATATTTCAGTGCAAAGGGTATGTAGAGAAATATATCTTTTCTTCAAAATATACATAATTTGGGAAAGATCCAGTAGTAAGAGTCAAAAAAATTATGAAGTTTTTGATGAATTCATATGTGTTAGTGCATACATAATTTTTCCAAAAAATATCTGAAAACCAAAACGGATTAAAGTTCTTTGCAGTTTTAGTTTAAATAAGATTTTAAACACGCTTTACTCTAAGATCCAAAATCTTTACCTGCACCAACTGCCGGTTGTCGAACGACTTGTGCACATTATGTATTTATTTATTTCGGTGAATGAAATGTGTATTGGTTGTGTCGCTAAGTGAAGATTGATTGTTTAAACTACAACAGAAGCACGAACAGAAACAATGAATGGTGTGCTTGAGGAATGCAAGGCACAACGTGCAGTCGAAATTGATTGATTTGCCATAATGACTGGCAATAGCTAGGAAAGCTTCTTTGAGTTCTCTATTTGAGTTTTAGTTCTCCTTCCCAGTGTCGTAGCCTAGTATTCTTTTAAACTAGAGCACGGAGCGCGGACAGGAAAAAACGGCAAATTATTAATCAATCACAGGATGATTTTGAGGATTTGCTGTGCATGCATAAAATAAAAGTAAAAAAGAGCGAACGCTATAGTGGAGTTCCCCGACTATTAGATACACGTTACTTAGCTAATAAATTCCAAAATAAATATTTTCCTAGAAATCTGTCGCGATTTGGTCGCCCTCCGTGTCTTACAAAGGTCAAAGCATATCCGTTTTGAATTGCTGTGAATTAAATTTTAGCTCAATCAGCATTTACATTTTTGTATTTCCAATAGCTTTAAAACTGCCAGGATACACGAGAATTGCACATACGCAGCATATAACGACCAAAGTATGGTAACAAAAGGTTGGATTGAAAACAGATACGGAAGTTTTTTTACATTTAAATTACGACTTAGATTTTGTTATCAAAAACCTTACCTGCCGAGAAGACTAACAATGACTAGCTTAATTTTTCAAACCAAGTCTCGCAAACAGAAACTTACACAAAGTTAAAGGAATTACCAGTTGATTCAAACAGTCCACTAGTTTACTTGGGCATTTTTTTTTTTTGGATACACATAGAACGTGTTTGGAATTCTACAACTTAATAGTTTATGTGTTCCTTTTTGTTAATGAAATCAAAGCGAGCAAGTGAACGAATGAGCTGATTGCTAGATAAAGATTTCCATAGTTGGGGGACCATAGTAAATAGCTTTAAATTTATATATGGAAATGCATAAAGTTTCTTGGGCATTAGCTGTAGTTTTCAATCCGCACCAAATACGTGTGGGAACGGAAGAAGAGTTTTAGAGAGCTACAACTTACTTGCCCCGTTCACTGCACACTTGCTTACGCCTTCTTCGGTGGCCAACGAAGCGTTAGATTTTTAACTGAGTTCTGGAGCTCGGTTAAGTGCTGGCCCGGGACGAAAAATCGAGGATGGAGATCTGTGTAAGCCCTGTTTAAAGTTCGAGCAAAGTTTTAATTTGAATTGAAATGCGAATGCAGTTGAAGCGAAACGGTTGAAGCTGCATGCCACCTTGATTGACGCAATGAATGATTGCCTGGAATCGAATTCAGCTTCTGGTGCGTCAAGCTTAAGGCCTTTAGAGAGTAAAACAGAGGGCTTTGCAAGTTTTTGCCTAGGATTTAGGTTCCTGACAGTTTGGGTATGCCAGCAATAAATTGAATCCCAAACAGAGTCTTTGACTAGACAATTAGTTTCAATGATCGATTGCTTGATTTTTTCAAAAATGCTTTCGCTTTCGGGTTTAAAACTTGTAAGTATAATTAACGCGGTAAAAATGTCGTGAAGATCGCATTCAAGATACAAAATTTCTGATATTATATTTCGTGTCAAAAAATAAATAAATATATAAACTAATATACTTTTAAGAGGCGCATTTTATGTTCCATTTTATTTATTTATTTATTTACTCAAGTGTTTATTTATGTTTCTTCAAAAAATTGGATTTGATTAATTTTGTATGTTTAAGGATCGATCGTCACGACTTTTTTATCTCGTTAAGTGGGGTTTTTGTTTGATGTCAGAAATTTTGGTTTGAAATATAGTCAAAGTACCCCAATATTATTACCACGATTTTAACAAAAATAACTTTAAGCTATTCTGTAGCACAAATTTTATTTTAACAAACTACTTTTAGGAAGACTTTAAAGCTGAACCAACACTAAGCTACAGACAATATTAAAGCATAAGTATTAGTTCAAAACTAAAGATTATATATACGGAAGACTCTAAAGCCGTAGTCTTAGGCCTTGTTTTTAAGCCAAATTAGTTATATTTAGACCTTATTGATAAATTTTTCATGACAATAGTTTAGTTTCTATGATACATAAGTTCAGATATAATTAAGTATATTTTCCAATTAAATTAAGAAACATTAAGTTTGCCCAAGTCTTTTTATTTGGAACCGTGTACTGGGACGTCTTCACTTCTTAATGACTCCCTATTGGAGTTAATATAGATTATGTACGCCATCAGTGATTTTTAAAATTTTTAAAAACAAATACTTAGAAACGTAAAAAAACTTTTCTTTGAGAAAATTAGATGTTACTGTTAAAGCTACAGGGTTATCACCTTGTCTAATTTTTCCAATCCAACACATTTTTCGCCCCGCCCATAATACTCATGCAACGATAATATCTTTTTGTTTTAGATCAATGCCATTAAATACTTAAAAATATTTTCTTTTAGTGTTCCGGCAACTTTACAGTATTGGAAATTCCTTTTACTTTCTGGAACATACATATTAAAAACAACTTTCTTGTTCGGCAAAGAAGACGCCCACAACAAAGGCATGTTTGTCCACAGACAATGCTATAACATAAAGGGCATAAGGGCATCCTGAGGCAATGGGGTAATCTTATAAGAAGAGGGGCAGAGTGATCTCTGCACATGCACAACGCGGATGGACAAACCTGTTGTAATGATAGCCAATCAGCCATAATTGATAGGGATACCTTTGCAGAGGGTATTATAATTTTAGTCATAAGTTTGCAACGTATTAAAGGCATCATTACCGACTATATAATATATATATTCTTGGTCAGGTTTACAAGGAGGGTCGATCTAGCCATGTCCGTTTGTTTCAACGCAAACTTGTCTATCAGCTTTAAAGTAATTTGCGTATATCTTTTTATTGCAGATAAAAATAATGATTAAATAAAAAACTAATAAAATATGTGTACATGACGAATGTTTAACCTTTTACCTTACCTAAGTACTTATTTCCTTAAATACCTTGTGCCTTACCTAGATCTAAAAAACTAGTACTTTCCCCACTAGGTAGTCGGAATGAGCTGGATGGGAAACTATATCCCACGGGAACCATTTTGAAAAAAATGAAAAACAATATTTTTTATAAAACCATTACAAATTGTTAGAAAATACAAAACTACGCATTTAAGTTTATTGAAATCGGAAAACGATATCAGAATGCTGCCATAGATACGCTGAAAATCATCGTATCTTCAATGCTTTTTAACAAATACGCACATAATTCAAAATTTAGATGTTCCAAATTTTTTTTTTGATTTTTGCAATAGCAGCAAGGGAATATAAATTTCGGCCTGCCGAAGTTTGCTTCTTTACTTATTGTTTATTAAGAATTGCCAATAATGAATGGTTTGGCTTAAGCTTTAAGTCTTGCATATGGTTATTTATTGTGCACATGTTTATTACATCGAAAGAAAAATTGGCAGGTTAAAAGGCTTAATTGATTACATTGTAAACTATGACTGATTTTTTTTCGCGCGGATTTACACGTCGTTACCCTCTTACCCACCGATGGGCCGTCGTACCGCACGAGAAGATAAATGCGAGATACTATAAAATCATAACAATGTTTCTCTAATTAGGAGTGGTAAAACGTTATCAGATTGACATAGTAGCATAGTGAACTGGTATTTTCGTAATTATCAATATGCACTTTTTGGAAGCTAAATGATAAAGTCGATTTTATTTTATTATTCCGTTTGTTCTAATGGGAGCTAAAGTCGTCCGAACCGGCTTCTGACTTTTG